GTTTTGTAAAAATCGACGCGTTTCAAAAAGGCGGGGCATAGAGGAGAAACAATAATGTACAGTATGTGGAAAATAATGTGTTTTTTGAACTTTAAACCGCGTAAACACATTTCATTACACCAAATACACAAAATAATGTTCTTTTTAGCAGCATCATATGACCCCTTTAAGAGCTGTGCATTTATTGTGTGACCTAAAGATGTTTGTGGTGGGGTTTTTTTTATTAGCAAATTAAAGGCCACACAGTTGAGCTTCGTGCCAAACCTGAATACCACAAGTTCCTTATTGGAAAAGGAGGTGGAAATATCCGCAAGGTGCGGGACAGCACAGGCGCCAGGATCATCTTCCCTACTGCTGACGATAAGGATCAGGAACTGATCACAGTCATTGGTACAGAGGAAGCTGTAGCAGAAGCACAGAAGGAGCTGGAGGCACTTATTAAGAGCTTGGTTAGTCCCCGTGTTCATCTCTTGTTTTTTTTTTTTTTTTACCCCAACACTGATCCTCAGAAAAATGTTAATCTTCTGAATGGATAATATTTGCCCTAATGATTCTTAAATCGTATATTCCTGATATCAGGATAACGTTGTAGAAGACGTCATGATTGTCGATCCCAAGCACCATCGGTTCTTCGTGGCACGTCGTGGCCAAGTCCTGAGGGACATTGCTGACGAGTATGGTGGCGTTATAGTCAGTTTCCCCCGAACTGGTTCACAGAGCGATAAGGTCACCCTAAAGGGAGCCAAAGATTGTTTGGAGGCAGCAAAGAAACGCATGCTGGAGATGATTGAGGATTTGGTAAGTAGATGTAACAATCTGCAATGCATCAATGCGATTCCAATCTCAGACTGCTGCATTTGCTATTTTAAAGAGGTAACAGACTACATGTTCCTCTAAATTTGCAGGATGCTCAAGTGATCATGGAGTGTGTGATCCCTCAGAAGTTCCACCGCTCCATAATGGGGCCTAAAGGCTCTCGCATACAGCAGATCACTAAAGACCACAATGTGCAGATCAAGTTTCCAGACCGAGATGACCAGCAAGGTAAATACCACAGTGAATATCAATAATTAAAAGGTCATATCATAGAAATAAAATATTTCTTGATCTATCTTTGAAATAGAAACCACAACTCTCCCTTGTACAAAATGACCACACACTGAAGGTGAAGTGCAAAAAATGGCCCATTTGAGAAGTGCAGAAATCACCTCTTACTCTTATACATCAGTGATACCAAATTTGATAAAAACTAATGTTGGGAGTAAGATGTGGGGAAGGTTTTAATCTAGAGCAGTAGTTTTCAGCCGTTTTATATTTCAATTATTTCTGCTGTAATTATGACAGCTGCTTGTTTTCAAATGTTTTTATTGATAATGTGGTTAATTTTAATGATTCTTGTTTTGTTTTTTTTTTATTCCAAGAGTTATGTTCATATGGTTCTGCAGAACCATATGTTCTTCAATATTTAAAAATGTACTCATTTTTCAGGTCAAGCAATAGTTATTAAAATGGTTATGGGAAAAGTTATTTATTTATAAGGATTTTATTTTAATTTAGAATAAATTAAATTTTAATATAAAGAATTTAAATACTTAAGGCATCCTGCAGTCCCCTCTGAACTAGGCATGGGCCGGTATGAGATTTTGACGGTATCATAACCTTAAGCAAAAATATCACGGTTTCACGGTATCACGGTATTGTTGTTACAGCTCTAAAATGTGTTAATTTTAAATGTCTGGGTAAAAAAAAAAAATTTGAACACAATATATTTTGAGCAGCATACAGAATATTTGGAACAGTAGTATTTGTTTATTTTTCTTTGATTTGTTTCTGAAATGTGGGCTGTCCTGCAGCTTTTGATGTGGATGGTTGATTTGCTGCTAGAGCTACTGCTGCCCTAAAAAGAAGAAAAATAAAGACTGACATCTTTATTTAACCTAAATCTGTAATTACAGTTATTTAATTTTAGTTATATAATT